GAAGATTCGGGTAGCCCATCTTGCCTATAAAGAGTATATCAGTTTTCTTGAAAGCTTAATGTTTCTTGCGACGACGCATAAGAATATTTGGTGAATCCACTTGAATCCAACAATTTTTATTATTGCCAACTATGTCTGAAAATAAGTCTTGTATTGAATGCCCAACCACCGAATCTTCTAGATTTCGTCCATTAAGTGGGTCAAAATGGAACGAAATAGTAAGTAAAGGTCTAGAAAGAGAAAACTGGAAAGAAGGTATTGTCTTATGTAACGCTTGTTATATGAGATTTGTTGAAAATCCCATGAGAAGAGGTGTTAAGCGATCAAATGATGCAAATGAGAAGATAGGTACGGGTACATCCAACAGAATGCTTGAGCTTTCCGAGGCCATTGAAATTATGGCAAAATTTTTTTATAATAGGGAGTATACAAAAAAAGAAAACACCATTTATTCATTTGAAGAAATGCGAAAATTGTTAGAAGAATATGATTCTAATCTTAAATATTTTTTTGAGCAACTTTATTTAGCAGCTCGGCCGTCCATGCGCACTGAACAGACAATGGACCATATAAAAAGAATAATGGTTTTCGCTTGTTATTTGCTTGCTTCTCTGAACAATACGAAGATTAACTCCTTTAAGTTTGACATTGCATATTATATAGATTCTGCCGGAACAAATAATGAAGGTTTGAATACATTGGCGAATCTCGGTGTGACCACAACATCAAAAGCAGTAAATCAGCGAAAAAAAAGAATGTCTGATGCACATGGAAAATATGCAGAGGATGCGCTTGTTCAGTATTTAGGGAATGCACTCGTGCTAAACGTTGATGACTATCATAATGTTCATACCCCACAACATCCCACCACTATGATTACTTCCAAGGCAACAAGTATGGCGACGATTTTAGTGAACCCGTGCTTAACACCAGCAATACCATATCATAGAATAATTAATCCGAAGTTCCTAGATAGCGGTTTGATTATGAGACATCTTGATAGTCGGTTTATTGTAAATCTTGGGATCTCATATCATGATCGTATGCGAAGCACAGAAAAAGCATGTACTGATAAAGAGGTGATAAATAGACTAGTAATACACAGTTATAATGACAGGCTCGAAGAGAAAAAAGATGATCGGCATATATGCAATTCGATTCTAATTGACTTCATTGAAAAAAACTTAAAAAGTATTAATGAATATATTAATTCTCTTCAAATTGTATATAATCAGGAGCCAATACAAGCATACCTTTCCAATTATGCAGTTCCCGTTATTGCGGACTGGCCGGGCCAGTACTTTATTCGTAAAGCCATTGCACAGCGACTTCTTCTTAACAATGAAACGATTCCACCATTTGTTATGTCGTTCTTGCCGATTATGGGGCCCCTCCATGTGTCTCTGAACGCCCGTGAACTCGTTTATAAAAAGAATTCATTTTTGTTTATTGATATTTACAAGGGCATATTTGGAGCGAAAAAAAATCCCGGTAAGACGCCACGTCCATGGAGAATTGCTTTAATTCTTCATATCGTACGTATGGCGTGGTCTAATATTGCCGATACAATTTATTCAAAATTTGGGTTTACGTGTAAAAATATCGAATTTCTATATCTAACCGACCTATTAAGTAATTTAGTTCCACTAGTTCTTGATGTTTATGCCGTGCATCATCGGGAAGGAGATTGGCCAGCTTATGAGGAGGCATGCATGCGCTGTTGGTCTGATCTTTTTCTCCGATTCGATCGAAAAAATTATAAGCGTGCTCCTTTAATGTTTTTTTCCGATGTTTTTTACTGGATGGAGATTGGTCATCCAATACTTAATATAATTACTAACCATTTGGCTTCTCTTAGTGATTATCCTGTGGAAAATGCTCATAGTATTATTTGAAGACGTACCACCAAGCTTCTTACGGGTGAACAGTTACGAAAGGAAGCACACTTCATTTTCCAGCAACGACGTGATAATACTTTTCAACAAAATTTCGTCCATTCAGTGAAATATCCATATACACCAAAACAGTTAAATATGTTTTCTCAGAAGTGTTCCATATGGCTTTTAGAAGCATTTGCCAAGGTGTATCAAAATCGTAACAAACAGCCGATTGTTAAATCTTCGGCCGACGGTATCAACTTCTATCAACTGCCCTCGCTGAATTACGAAGTGACAGATCGTCACCTTCCAAGAGGTTTCGTTACTTCTAAGAAACCAAATGCGTCTGTTTTATGTGATTCAATTTATTGTGATCGAGCTTATGATTTACATAATGGCAGCGTTTTGGCATGTGGGCATGGCTACCATACTCATTGTTTACAAATGTTTCAATTTAAATGTTTTATATGTTTAGGTTATCTTCAAGCCGAGGCTAAGAAAAATATTGATGCGCTAAAAGTAAGTATGACAAATAAATTCGTTGAAAATGAAACGATCGAAGAGGATAGTGAAAATACAGTTAATGAAGAAGATATGGGCAATGCGGATAAAATAAGTGAAGAAATTGCAGAGGATTTATTAAAATATTTGAAGAAAACTTTTTTGGAATTATAAAACTTATAATAAATATCTATTATTACTTAATTTTGACATAATTTCTACCTAATTCTGTAATTATGATTATTAAATTAATAAAAAAAAAAGCATATTTGATTAATTTGATGTAATTTGATGTAATATTATTGGTTATTTTTCACGTGACACTTATTGTTTTGATTGGATAATCAAAATCGGAAATTTTCGGCAAATATGAAAATCTGT